AATAGTGGATTATTGATTGGGCTTATCACCTAGCTTTTGTTAGGCCCAAACAATTTCTACATCGCTTTAGCCTGTATTGAAGGCTGCAGAGTGGCCTTATTCTTTCTTGATTGACAAGGCCCATCAATTGGGTCAGGCTGAGCGGCCCAAATACTAAAACCAGAGTAACCTTCTAATTAAATTTTTTGTCGTCGCTGATTCTGGCTCACCCAAAGCCCAAACCTTCACTTCCTATTTAGCCCCTAAAAAATACAAAAGAATATCTAAGATCCTTTCTTAATAAAGAATTGATGTCTATTACCATATTGTCATCATCATCATTCCTTTGCTTTATAAGCTAAAGAAAGACAAGTTAATTAAAAGGTTTACATTATCAATCTAATTATTTAGCTCCTAATTAAGGTAACAACCACCTTAATATATATTTCTATGGGCGTTTCTGCTTTTGAAGTCAGTATAAGTCGACCCTATCATTTAATTAATATCAATCAAAGCAATCAAGGCCGAACCAAGATATCATTTTAAAATGGACAGCTATATATTTTCTGTGGTATAGTCAATTGTTAGACATATTAAAAAAAAGAAATGAAAGAAAAAAAATTACCAATTTATTTAATTAATTTTTAAGTTATTAATTGGTATATATTTTGATTTAACATATTATATGATATATTCATTAAAAATTTATTTTTTTATATAAAATTAAAAACAAATAAACTTAAAAATATAATTATAAAAATTGATTGAATTAATTATATTTATATTATATTTTAATAGCTGAATCAAGATAAATATTAAAAAATATGTTAAATCCAGTATGTATAAATAATTTTCCTAATTTTTAACGCACAATCTTTGTAGCTTCACCTTTCCCTGCTTATATATTTGTATCATCAAAAACATCAATATAAAAACAATATCAACAATTACATGAAAAGCAATATTAGATCAAACTTATTAAGATGGGACTCCACAAACAAATGAAATGCAAGGAATTAATTAATTAGCTAGCTAAGCTAGTTAATTAACTCAATGCATGCAGCCATTACACAGGCTAGTAGTGTGGGTGATGTCTGTGATAAGGACCAGTACTAGGGAGCCCTGGTTCGCAAGGCTGCTCAGCGGCACCCCCACCATGCAGACTAAGTTGACTAACAGGAACGGCACCCATTTCTTCATGAATAACCACATCATCCTCAACCGTTACCGTCACAGTTTGTTCTCCACACGGACCTGTCGTGATCGTCTCCTGGATTACTTCATGTTCTTCGATGCAAGCAGCTGCAGCAGGAACCATTACCGGTTTCTTTTTCTTTTTTGCCATACAAATGAGGCCGACTAATAGGAACGCGAGGAAAAAGGCGCCCCCGAGGGAAACGCACACGGCGATGACGGTAGTGTGGTTGGTTCCTGGTGGTGATGATGCTATTTCGGATGATGGTGGGACGGAGCTCAAAGGTAGGGGTGAGGGTGCTCCATAAAGAGGTGGTGCAGGTACTGGGACGTAGCCACTGGGTGTCGGTTTGGGTGGTGGAAGTTGATAATCCGGTGGAGATTTTGGTGTTGGTGTTGGACTCTTAGCTGGAGTTGGAGGATAAGAGTGTTTAGAAGGCGGCGCCTCACTTGGTCCTGGACTAGAAGGTGTTGGTTCTGGGGATGGAGGGTAATGATATGGTGTTGGTGGCGGCAGCAAGTGATGCTTAGGAGGTGGTGCGGACTTTGGAGGTGATGACTTCGGTGGCAGGGTATACGTAGCAGGTGCTGGTGGAAGTGATCCATAGGAAGAGGGGGCCTTTGCAGGCGCTCCTGGTGGTGGCGGGTGGTGGTGGTGATGATGACGATGTTGTTTTGGTGGAGGAGGAGAAGGTGGTGGTGGCAGCACAGGGTTGCAAGGGAGAGGTGGTGATGGGGGCGGAGGAGGAGAGTAGTATGGATAGGCCATGGTCGTCTTTTGTATGTTGCTCTGTATAATTTGGACTATGGGCACTATTTGTACTACTTTAGGATTGATTTTTATTTTTATTTTTAAATGTAATTAGGGTTGAGTTATTCAAACCTTTGAATCTGTATCCCAGTCTATTGTATCTTTATTTTTTCGGTGACAGCAAGGAAATACATTAAATACAGTTTGCAGCCAATTCATGGTA